CAGAAGTTAAGGTAAGCGGGGCCGCCGCCGGCGCTCTCGGCGCTGAATGGCGGAGTGTACGTCGCGGTGATTTATGGCCGCAGACTTAGATCTCGGTTCAAGAAGAGTTCACAAGCCCGAGCTTCCTTCCCGGCAGTGACTGATACCCTTACACTTCGAGTTCAGGCCGCGTTCCCGTCCCCGCCCCCACCTCTGCCCGCTCCCCTAGCCCAGCCGCAACTTTCCGGGGTTGGGAAGGGAGGCAGGGGTGGACAAGGGGCGCTGGGGGCTCGTACCCGCGTTCCCGGTTACACTCGGGGTGAGGGCAGGCTAAGGAAGGGGCGGGAGTGGAAAGAGAGAGCGGTGGCTGAAGGCAAGAGGTTGAAATTTGGGCAGATCTTCCGGAGAGACAATGGGGCTTGCTTCCCGCACTCAACTCAGCCTCTTCCACTCTCAGCTCTCGCACCTGGGGGCTGCTGAGACAGATCTGCTCCTTCCCCAGCCCTTGTTTGGGGGTGCAAAGCAAAGTTTCCTGGCTGGCAAATCTCCAACTTCTTTACTAGGTTGTAAACTTTGGGGGCTGGGTTGGGGTGGTGGACTGTGTGGGCCCCAGCTGGTTATCTGCTCACCTTAAACAATAGGGAGCACTTTAGTGGGGTCTGGGGGGTGAATTCATATTTTAAGTTTATGTGGGTTGTTGTTTGCTCTTTGATTTTAAAAGGTATTTTTGTTATTTTACAACTTGACAAAAAGACTTAGTAAACAGCAGGCCGGTGTAGCTTATGATAATGGGTTAGCAATTCACTTGAAATAGTGCACATTCAAAATCAACTTAATTTTGTTTTATCTAATATCTTGCTGTTCAAGTGTCTGGAGTAATTTTCTTAACCTGACGTTTTATTTTACACAAGCCTTGTATCTTAAAAATTTATGATGGCAGACATTAACACTGCCAAATGTAATAGGAACTGTTTTCAGTGAAAGAACAGGAAACAGACGTTAAAGGGCTATTCTGTTTTAAATTTTATTTCATCATTTATTTACTTTTGATTTTGGTATCTGTAGCTTTCTATCTCCAAAAGAGAAACAATACTCCAGGGCTCAAGATCATGCACAATGGCTCTGGATAAGGGATGCTGTAATTTTTAATTGAGGTTCTGGAAAATTAATTGTGCTTGTTTTCCAGATGTTGGTCAGATTGTTGGTTTAATAATGAAATTCAAAGGAGTTCGTTATTGAAGACAAAATTACAGTGTAATCATCACTAGTAGATGCTTATTACATTATTTTTTTCTGGTTAACAAAGTGTCTGCTATTCCTGGAAAACTTGAATAACTTCAGGACTCAAATACACAGAGTTGGGGGTGTGAAGTGTAAACCATTTTCTTCATGAATTTGTCATTGTAATTTTCTTTAAATGGTCAGATGCTAACATTCTGAGTGTGTCAGAGTGTGACTGTGACTATGTGAACTCACATGGAACTTTTCTGAGCAGAACCAGAGGTTGACCATGCAAAGGTTGGGGGGTGGGTGGGGGGAAGGAACAGATTTCACTTCTGCAAACTGTTTCTAAAACACAAAACAAAAAAAGGCTTGAGAGGGCTTTCCATTGCTTTTTAGATTTCCAGGGTTGCCCTTCACTTGGTGTTTCTGAAGCAGGTAAATAGGCCAAGTAACAAATATCAACAACAACAGCACACAAAGATCAGGGAACTCTGGCAGGATTTTATGGCTTGTGCTCCCATCCCTCGTCCAGAGCCAAATGACCCCCATACATCAAATTACATAGCAGTTTCTAAGACAGAACCTATTATCGTTAAGTTGGAAGGAGAGTTCAAGCCGTGGTCATGGAGATGAACGCTGGTTTTTCAGGTTCCTGGTGGGTTGTTTTTTTCTCTAATCCATCATGTTTTAACAGGTAGAATTTGATAGTTGCCTGAATAACAGCACCTCAGAAAACCCAAGGCAGGAGGGTCTGGGGACCTTTTTCAGCAGCGGAGAAGAGGTGGGAGTGGCTTGCTGGGACATGCCTGAGAAATAGGAAAAGGAGAGGAGTAAAATGCTGTCCAGGATTTGAGTTTGATTTGCTGGGGTGGGTGTTGGTGGTGGTCCCTCCTCACACAGGATATCCCATCTAAAGTTTTCTCTCTCCCCTTCTCAGCCACAGGGGCTCATTTGGAGGTGGGCCATATCCCTGCACAAGGGAGAATAACTGCCTAACGATCTCAGCTTCTGAAATTCAGTAGGGTCGAGTAGGGCAATTACCTGAACATTTTTTGTGCATACCTCTCTTTGGTTCTGGAACATCCAAAATGGGGGTGGATGGGACATCACTCCCTGTCAGGGCTCTTTTGGTAAATACAAGTGGTAATGCGAGAATTGGAGAAAAAAAAATTGGTGACTCCCCTTTGCCTCCTTGCCCCTTCTCCAAAATTTCCAGAGGGAGAGGGACCTGGGGCTCGCTGGAGGAGGTGCCGGAGCACAGAGGAGGGGACACCCTGAATTTCTTCTTCCTTGGAAAAGAAGGATCCCAACCCCGTCCCTTTCTAACCCATCAGGCCTTTCTTCTTGTGGACTCCAGCTCCCAGCCCTCACTCACTCTCCTCCTCTCTCCCCGGAAAACCCCCCAACTCCAGACGCAAGTTAAGCAAATATTTGTAGCCGCCAGTAAATTCCAGCGGCTTTTTATAGCGCGGCTCTCTGCGCCCGGGGCCAAGTCGTGCAGCTAAATATTGCTGACCACTTTTTCTTTTATGGCTTTCATGTCACTTAGCTATTGAGAGTAAGATGGATTTGCGCGGAGCCCTCACCGCGCGATTCTCACCCCCCCAGGTCTGCGCGGGGCAGCCATTGGCGGCGGAGCGTCACGTGACCGCGGGGGCGTGCCAATGTGCGCCCTCACGGGAGTCAAGCCCCTGTCAGAGTGTGTGATCAAGATCGTGAAACAACGCGATGCAAAAAGCGACCTACTACGACAGCTCCGCGCTCTACGGTGGCTACCCCTATCAGGCAGCCAACGGGTTCGCTTATAATGCCAGCCAGCAGCCATACTCGGCGTCCGCAGCTCTGGGCGCGGAGGGCGAGTACCACCGACCCGCCTGTTCACTCCAATCACCCGCCAGCGCTGGGGGCCACCCCAAGGCGCACGAGCTGAGTGAGGCATGTCTGCACACCTTGAGCGGGCCGCCCAGCCAGCCCCCAGGCCTGGGCGAGTCCCCCCTGGCCCCGCCACCGACCCAGGCTGCGCCCCCTGCCCCTCAGCAGCCTCAACCACCTCAGCAGCCCGCTGCGCCAGCTCCTGCCGCGCCCCCCGCCCCATCTTCAGTCTCCCCACCTCAGAATGCCAGCAGCAACCCCACCCCTGCCAGTGCGGCCAAGAGCCCCCTACTCAACTCGCCCACCGTGGCCAAACAGATCTTCCCCTGGATGAAGGAGTCTCGGCAGAACACAAAGCAGAAAACCAGCGGCTCCAGCTCAGGTAAAGGGGTGCCTTCTGGAGGAGGGTCCTCTGGCCTGGCTCCAGGTTTCCCAAGCCAGCTCCAGGCACAGCCAGCACGGCTTGGAGCGCTGGAACATTTCCAAGGACCACTGCTCCTCCACTCTATCCTACACAGGTTTCCAGAGTCTTTGCAACTAGGGAGGTGACAGGACTATGTATGTGTACAGGAACCCCCAGAGAGACCTAATGGAAGTCTCTCTGGACTCCTCCAAGAGCGAGTGGGCCTAGTGAGTTTGGAATCACTTCTTCTACTCTAGGAGTTAGGACCTTTGTGCAGAGCAAACATGAGCTCCACTTTCTTTTTTGTACAATTCCTTATTTTTAGTGCAATAGTGACACCCACCCCACACTGCAATGTGTCAGAGTAAAAGCAGGTCTAATCACCCTCCAATTCAGAATCAATGCTTTGCTTATAATCAGCCTATTTTTAATTTTTGCTCCAGCAGATGGAGTGGCTGCCTTGCCTCTGGGAAGGCCCCCCTCAGACTTAACACAATGAAGGCAGCCAGGATCTCCTCTGGGAGGGGATTCAGACTTGTCATCCTAATGGGAACCACATGGGCATCCTGGAACCCGACTCCAGGGGATGATAGGCCCTAGGCCTTAGGGCTTACCAGTATCCCAGTTACCTTTGCCCCTGCCTTCTCCAGTTGCCAGTGCTCTAGTCTGAGAATCTGGGACCTTCCTGCACTCGGATATGGGGGCCAGGGAGGACACAAGATTAGTAGGCAAAGCTGGGGCAGGCTGCTTGATGACATGAGAAACCTAATTAGTAGGACCCAGCATCAGGGGCCTGGGTCTCTCCACCAGAAATGGATACTGTTGATGGGTTCTCTTCCTTTGAGCAGAGAAGTCTTTCAGATTGGGGCTCCTGCTCCACCACCTCCACTGGGGAAGTTATGTGTCCAGTTGAGGCAGCTGTCCACTCAGACAGACAGTGACTGGAGGAAGGGTTTATTGAGTGTATATTAGGTGGACCACATTCCAGCGAGTGTGAAGGGAATGAAGGTGGTGAGACCTGCCCACAGGGAGCTTGTAGTCACAGGCCTGCAGGCCCAGAAAGGAGTCAGAAAGTGAATAGCTCAGGAAGGAAGTACAGACCTGGAAGGCAAACTGGGGGTTCTGCTTTTCTGTCCTTGACCCCCTTGGAGAAGCCTATGATTTGCAATTTGACTGAGTGAGGGGCTACCTACCAGCACTGTTTCCCACTAGGATGGAGGAAGCATGCACTTCCTCCTCACCCTTTCTGGGCCCTGACAAATAGAGGACACATTGGGGTTCATAGCAAGGAGGGGCCTGGTTGGGGAACAGCCCCTGACACCACTCTTCCTCTCTTCTGTCCTGGCAGGGGAGAGCTGCGCAGGCGACAAGAGTCCGCCTGGGCAGGCGTCCTCCAAGCGCGCACGCACGGCCTACACCAGCGCACAGCTGGTGGAGCTGGAGAAGGAGTTCCACTTCAACCGCTACCTGTGCCGGCCACGCCGCGTGGAGATGGCCAACCTGCTGAATCTCACCGAGCGCCAGATCAAGATCTGGTTCCAGAATCGTCGCATGAAGTACAAGAAGGATCAGAAGGGCAAGGGCATGCTGACGTCATCAGGGGGCCAGTCCCCAAGTCGCAGCCCAGTGCCTCCAGGCGCTGGCGGCTATCTGAACTCTATGCATTCGCTGGTCAACAGTGTCCCCTACGAGCCCCAGTCGCCCCCGTCTTTCTCCAAGCCCCCCCAAGGCACCTATGGGCTGCCCCCTGCCTCCTACCCCGCACCTCTGCCTAGCTGCGCGCCTCCGCCGCCCCCACAGAAGCGCTACCCAGCTGCAGGGGCAGGCGCAGGGGGCACACCCGACTATGACCCGCACGGGCATGGCCTCCAGGGCAACAGCAGCTATGGGACCCCACACTTACAGGGAAGCCCCGTCTTCGTGGGGGGCAGCTATGTGGAGCCCATGAGCAACTCTGGGCCGGCCCTCTTTGGCCTAACTCACCTCCCCCACGCTGCTTCGGCTGCCATGGACTACGGGGGTGCTGGGCCGCTGGGCAGTGGCCACCATCATGGGCCTGGGCCAGGGGAGCCGCACCCCACCTACACGGACCTTACCGCCCACCATCCTTCTCAGGGAAGAATTCAGGAAGCCCCCAAGCTCACCCACCTGTGATGGTGGAC